GCTGGAAGAAGCACAAGGAATTTCCTCCTCCTTAAAAACACCACCACTGATTGCAAGAAGCAGAAGGAATTTGTTTTCACCTCTGCATTACTCCCCTAAGATTGCTGTAGTAGGACAGTGCACGTGTTTGCCAGTAGGCTGTTCTCTATGTTTGAGTTTTCATAGTAAAATGAGTTCTAAGATGAAGTCCAGCCTTCAGTGCAAGCTGTTGTCTTCTTCCAGTTGACATCTGACATCAGCTTTCAGGAAGAGAATTTATTTTGCTGAAGTCTGTCAGTTTACTCCTAAAAATGGAAGGTTTCTAACAGGAAATTGGAAGGCCGAGAGCTTTCCGCATCTTTAAAACTAAATGGCCTGAAAGTTGAAGGCCAAAAGCAAAAGGAATGTGTGCTTCATAGGGCAAACAGAATGGTACTCACCTCCAGTGGTGTGAATTAATTGAGTGTGGAGCACTGGGAGCCCATCTCTGTGCTTTGTGTTGGATCTCTTTGCTGATGTCTTGGATCATCTGTATTTAAAGGAATTTTAGCCCTCTTGTTTCACGGATAAGTGTTTATTTTGCTGCTGTTTGATCTGGCGGGTTGTAATGATCAGTTAAAATGTGTTGTTGTGCGCCTTTATAATGCTGTGTGGGGCTGCCATGCCAAGAAATCTTTGATGGGTGTGTGAATGGTCAAGCTACACTTTCACTATCCTACTTTTTCTATACTTTGATTGAAGTGTAGTGCACAAAACAGTATAGCTGTGACTTCCAGGCATCCTTCTGGCACTGTAAATTGCCATGCAGTAAAGGCAACGTGTCCAGCAGAAAAAGCTGTTTTCATCGAGCAGTGGAAACAAGTTTTCCCAACACAGAAGCCTTAAAGCTACTGGTAATCAATGTTTTTATTTTAAGCCAGTTTGTTTCTCTACCTATACATACAGTAATCTAAATAGGAAACAGTGGAATGCAGATGCATTATTGTGAAGGTAACTGCTTTTTCTGCATGTTCAGCTCTTCTGTGTAAATTGTTTTCTACCATACCCGAAAATCAGATAGGAATGTTCAAATATTTAGAGAAAGTGCTGTATAGGATGTTTATAATGAAACATATTTTCTTCCTGTCCCATTTTTCTGCCCTGGCAGACGACTTCCTAAGCATTCTAACTGTACGCTTTTACATGTACAATAAATTTTCCTGGAGCTGTAACCATCTGCTGAAATGGAAATTGCAATAAATGTCCCGACAGTGTTTTGAGAAACCTTAAGGAGAGAACTTTTGACTAACCTCCATCTGCAAAAATACCCCACTTAACCAGAAAACACCCGACATCAATCTTTGATGTCAGCGCTTTCCTCAGCCTGATAGGAATTTCCTTCTGCCTTGAGAAATCAAAGCACTTTGCATTCAGGGCTTGGTTCTTCCAGGAACGGGTGTATAACCAACGTCTCTTATCCTCACCAGAAAGCAGCAGTGTTACCAAAAATGGTCCTTGAGCCATAGTCAGCTTTATTTTCATTTACCCATTTTTCGGATGAAACGCCAGTAAGAAGTGCTTGGGACAAAATTTAATCAAGAATGCCAACTTAATGTCAGCAATTCTAGATATGCATATAGTGCCCTTTGGGATTCTGAGCTACCCAAGACATCTGATGATGCTGGCAGAAAACCCAAGTCCTGCTGAAGCAGCGGTTGAGGCCAGGTAGGATGAGGTACCTAAGGGACCTTATGTAAATCCAGATGCCTGAGTTCCTACTTGTTGCACATACACTTAGTTGTCTGAAAGGCCTTTGAACCTCTTGGCTTGAGCCTCCTGAGTGCTGACTCAGCCATGAATCAATTGCCATGGGAATGTTGACACCCAACTATGCAGGCAACTAAATTTAGGTTAATAATCTGCAAATTGAATCCCGTGCCCTTTGTGATGCTGTGACAATCACTCAGATCTAAACACTGTCTGCTTCAAGCACATGGGTATTGACGTGATGTCCTCCTATTAACTGCTTAATGTGCCAGGGTTTAAGTTTGCAGAAAGATGTGTAAGTTGCTTGTGACTCTTTTGAACGGTGACAGGATAATTATAGCAACACCTAGGCTGATTTCCTTCAGCTAATGCTGTGAAAATCATCCTCTCAAGTTGATCAGCCTCAATTTTTTCCATGTATGAAGTGGGATATCTGTGCTTTAGGGAGCTCAGTACCATCAAAATGACAGAGAGCTGAAGGACAAATATGTAAGAATATGTAGAAGAAGCAAGAGCACTAAAAGGTAGATCTTGTCCTTGTATTTGTGATTGCCAGACAACATCAGCACTTGTTTTCAACACCCAAGTCCACACTGACTAAATTCATATTTAAATCCTGAGCTTTCTATATAGCAAAGTGCAGTAAAATATAAATGGAGACTAATAACTTCTGAGAACTCATTGACTTCCTCGATTGTAGTGTTGATGTAGTGGGAATGGGCTCCTGATGGAAAAGGATAATTAACCACACCTTGCTTGGCCTCCTTCTGTCCTGAAAGTCTGTACTTAAATCTGTGCTGCTAAGTGAAACAGATCCAAGTACAGCTCTCTGGCTTTGACTCTTCTTGCTGTATCTGGGCTGTGTTCGTATTACATAGCATTTGACTTTAGATCTCTTCCAGGTCTCCTGTTGTGGCTGTCAAATATAATTTTGTTTCCTTTTTTTTTTGAGCTGCTTTGTTAAGCTGGAGAGAATTGGCTCTGAAATAATGTCAATTTGTTGATGCATCCTCAGGTGGAGTGCTTCTGTAAAGTGAAAATAAAGGGCAGTATGGCATGGTGGGATGTTTGAGGACATGAAGCCTCCTGGGGTGGTTTTGGTAGAGCCAGTCCTGCTGTTAAATGGCAGCACGCCATTCTGTGAGCTCTCTTTGGGCACTGCTTGGGAGAATTTTGGATGGCGTGGGTCAGATCCGTGTTAGGAAACATGGAAACTAGAAACAGTGTGTTCTAAATCCTGTCTCCTTCCAGACCTGGTCAATAGCTGTAAATGATAGTGCTGTATTCTTTAGCATTAATAGCTTTGTTTTGAAAACCAGATCCAAATGGGTTGACCTAGGAGGAAACACATTATTCTCTAGGAAACAAGAGACAATGGTTTGCAAACTCAGACAAAACAAGAATGTGGATTCTGTTTGAGTCTAAGTGCAGCTCAGTGGCATCAGTACTTGGCTGAAAAACAGTTTATTTGCAAATTTAGTGTCATTGAGACTCCTCTGACCAGGAGAGATGAAAACAACAGCAAGTGAGAGAAAGAAGTCTGAGTTGGAATCCAGTATAGCAAAAGGTACTGTTTGTTCAGTGGGAATCCTGTACAAATAGCACTGTATGTGTTTGCTCTAGGTTCTCTTGTCTATGCTTACGTGTTAGACATCTGATTTATTTTTACCTTGAATCCTTAGTAATGTGGTGGTTTTCATTTGTGTTCTGTATTTTCTTAATTGTGGATGTGCACATGAAATCCTTTTTATTGTGTATATACACAGAAAGAAAGGCGTTTCTATTATTTCAATATCAAAGACTGCCAATGTACCAAAAAGATCTTAAAGTGGAAGAATCTTGAGTGTGATATGTGTGTGCGTTCTGTTTTCATTCATTTTTCACATACTGAAAAAGGAAATTAAGTTAATGGAAAGTATGTGATATGACAGCAGTTGTTGCTATAATAATGTCATGCACACAAAGGATGTTGCTGAGGAAATTATCCCATACTATTTCTGAAAGGTCTGTCAGTGCAATACCATTTTTTCCAAAGCAAAGGCCAGTGGTACAGTGCTGCTACTGTGAAAAAAAAAAAAAAAAATCATCTTTTTACAACAGTTATTTGAAACTTTTCCTGAGTTCTGAATTCATTTTGGTACGAATTCTACAGGAAGAGGAAACCCATCTCGCCTCTCAAAATACAACTTTCTACTTAACTTCTGTTTTCACAGCCAAGCTGAACTGCTTAGTCCCTTCAGTGTTTCTGTTTGTGAAGTTTTAACTTGTCATTTGTGTAATAGAGAAATTAAAACAAGATCATGTAGTAGAATTATAGAATCATAGAATCATTTGGATGTTGTGTTGAGGGACGTGGTTTAGTGGGAGCTATTGGTGACAGGTGAACGGTTGGACTTGATGAGCTTTTAGGTCTTTTCCAACCTTGGTGATTCTATGATGATTCTATAGAGTTGTAGAATCACCAAGGTTGGAAAAGACCTCTGAGATCATCTGCCCAACCATCCACCGACCACCAAGATTCCCACTAAACCACGTCCCTTTTGGGCAACTGTTACCTATGAGTGGATGAAAAATTACCCTGGTAGAGGCATCTAATTGAACACTGATTCTCACTTGCATATTTTGGATATCTAAAGTAGCTTAATAACCAGTTTCAACCTCATCCTGGTCCCCATCAGGTATATTAGCTCATGTTGTAACCTTCTGAACTCAGGTAGTCCCACGTACTTGAATTCCCACACAAAATTCAAGGAAAGGCTGGATGTTGTGTTGAGGGACGTGGTTTAGTGGGAGCTATTGGGGATAGGTGAACGGTTGGACTGGATGATCTTGTAGGTCTTTTCCAACCTTGGTGATTCTATGATTCTAAATTGAGGGCTGTACTTATCTGCTTCTGTTGATGAGCAGCCACGGTCTGACCTCTACTGAAATCATACAGATGAAATTAAGTCAGCGTTGAGGTAGGACTGAAATCCTGGACCATTTGCACTGTGCTGCTCCTTGCAGACTGCCTTTCCAGACGAACTCCTCAAGTTCAGCTCTTTTCCAGTAAAAAAATTTTTGTTCTAACACTGTTTATTTGGACACAGATGTTGATAAACCTGTGCTCTTCTATACAGAACGCATGAAAACCTAAGATAAAAGACATTGAATAATTTTATATATTTTTATTTTTGCCTGATTTTACCACTTTTTTTTTTCTTCTCATTTATTCAAGAAACATTTCTCATTAAAGCAAGCATTCACTTATTTGTTTTTCAATTATTTTAATGTAGGAAGTCCCCAACATCCACTTGGAATAAAGAAGAGCAGATGAAAGATACCCTAGAATTAGGTAAGTTTGCTCAGAGTCAGTTTGGCTTTCACCAACATATTCTATAGAGAAACTGTGGTCACAGATGTTTGAATCTTTTCTTTGGCGACGCTTAGTTGATTTGGAGTAATTGCATTTGCTATTCTCTGGTGAGACTGTGAAGAAATTATTTAGAAATAATCAAAGAAAAGATAGCTTATCATAGAATTATGAAGTGATTTGGGCTGGAAGGGACCTTAGAGAACATCTTGTTTCAACCTCAGTGCTATGGGCAGGGACACCTCCCACCAGACAAGGTTGGTCAAAGCCCCATTCAGCCTTGCCTTATTTATTTTTTAAGTCTATCATTTCCCCTACTGGTGGGAGCAAACATACCTTTTTTTTCCTCCAACTCCTTATATGTTCTTTCTTTACTTTCAGTTGATGTTGAGGATGAAGCAACAACTGGGGAATTCAGTAGGAACCTGAATCTTTCAGCACTGCACATGCTTCAAGAAGCGTCAAAGGCGATCGATATTTCTCTTGCAAAAGTAAGGCTATGATGGTACATAGAAATGGAAGTGTGAAATGGTCATTTCTGTTCAGTCAGAGCAGCAATGGGTTGTTCTGTGTTGGGTGTTTGTTTGTGCTTTAACTCTTGCTGTGCATACTCTTGTATATGGTCCTTATTTGGGATTCATATGTAAAGGTAATTTAGGGCCACCAAACAGAATTCAGAAAAATACCAGAAGAGTATGTGGGAAATTATCAGCTGCTTGAACCACAGATTAGGGCTGTAAGTGAAGAAGCACATATTATTTTAATAGCTCTTGTCAGTTTTGCATGTGCTTGTCTACCTGTCCTCATATTGACTGATTCACCACTGCTTCTCCTTTGCTCACCTTCCTTGCTTCGAGCAGAGATGTAAATATTAAGTGCTTTTAATTTTTACTTCCAATTCAGACAAAAAAAAAAAAATCATTAAAAAAGCCACGGGGAAAAGATAATGAGGATTTCTTCTGACTTAATTCTCTGTCAAAGACGTATCAAAGTGATGGTGCAAACCCTGAGCAGTCAGTCCTTATTTGCTCAGCCTTACTTTAGACTGAAAGCAATTCTTCAGCTTAGCTATTCCTTAGTAGCAGAGTCTGCAGTCACTCAGGGCCAAGATCTGAATTTGAATTTTGCCAGCAGACATAGGTGAATCTCTGGACATTTGTCTTATACCAGCAACTTTGACAAGCAAAATAGGCTTCTGCCTTTTCTGTGTCCAGCAGGGTCCTCTTCTCACTTTTGCCAGCCATGAGTAGCCATCTCCCTTTTGCTGTAGCTTTGAGGCACTATTTTGTAATGCTTCCATGGGAAACTGCTCCAGCCAATCTGCCTAGACAGTTTCCTAGTGCTGAGCAATACACGGCATTATGAGTTGAAGTAATATTGCAGGAAAAGGAAAAAATTGTTCCGTCCCATTTGGGTGTTGCTATTTACAGTAAGTATAAAAGAGAAAAGGGTGGCTGTAGTGAGTTAGTCATTACCCTGCCACACTCCGCCTTTCTTTCTGCAAATGACTACTAGAAAACATTGGAGTATGTATATATATGTGTTATTTACTTTTAAAATCATACATCTTTTTTTTTTTAATAGGAATTAAAAAATCTTCTGTTTGGCTCCAGTCTTTGTTGCTTCAGTGAAGAATGGAAAATACAGAGTTTCACATTTAATAACATACCTCAGTTAAAATATGGCATTGTACAAAAAAAGGTACTGTAAGTGAGCTTCTTAAAAAAAAAAAAAAAGGGGATCTTTGCTTTTTACACAAAGTTTACAGTGTTTTTGCAGTGAAAAAATAAGTCTTTGCTTTCCTTGGTGTTACTGCTTTCCACTGGATGATGTTACCTTGGAGAGTCTGCTAGGAGATCTGAGATGGAAGGAATCTACTGAAGATTATAGAATCACAGAATGGCTTAGGTTGGAGGGAACCTTCATCATCATCTAGTCATCCCTTCTGACATGGTCTGGTTGCCAACCAGATCAGGTGCCCAGGGCTCCATCCATCCTGGCCTTGAGCACCTCCAGGGCTGGGACATCCACTGCCACACCACACTCTGAGTAAAGAATTCCCCCCTCACATCTCAGCTAAATCTCCCTTCTTTTAGTTTAAATCCATTTCCCCTTGTCCTATCAGACCATATAAAAGGTCCATCCCATTCTGGTCCCTTCCAACCACAACCATTCTCTCACTCAAGGAAATCAGAGGTGGTGCAAAATTGCCACCTAGTTAACACACAGAAATGAGTCTTGGTCATTCAGTGGAATCAGATGGGCTGGGTGGTTGGGAATAAGGGAGGAGAAGGAAATTCAATGCTATGCCATCCCACAGTCTCTTACAGCAGCCATTAATCTGTTCTCCACTACATTCAATGTTAATATGATACGTGTTGGTATTGTGATATTTGCAACATAAAGGATTTGAGGATTCAAGTTTCCTTTATTTTCTCCCTTCTGCAGTGGAATAACTTCCCAGTGTAGAGAGGTATACATAAAACTGAAATCTTTCATTAATGATAGAAGTGGGAATTTGAGGGAAGGCATGGTGCTGAGAGAGATTTAAAGGGCAAGGTTAAATTCTGTCCTTCAGAAAAGTCAAGTTTGTTATTCCTCTAGAAATGAAGCTAGTTCTTGTCTCATAGGGATCATAGGGATCAATCTCCCTATGAGATTGGAGCATCTGTTGTTTGTTTGCATGAGCACAGAGCAGGCTTAAAAAAGCAACTTTCCTTTCTCAGAATCATAGAATCACCAAGGTTGGAAAAGACCTACAAGATCATCCAGTCCAACTATCCACCTATCACCAATAGTTCTCACTAAAATATTCTCTTTGACATTATACTGACTTTGATATTATAGAATCGTATAGAATCACAGAATTGTTAAGGTTGGAAAAGACAGAATCACAGCATCACAGAATGGCCAGGGTTGGAAGGGACCTCAAGGATCATGAATCTCCAACCCCCCTGCCACATGCAGGGCCACCAACCTCCACGTTTAATGCTAAACCAGGCTGCCCAGGGCCCCATCCAACCTGGCCTTGAACACCTCCAAGGATGGGGCATCCACAACCTGTCTGGGCAGCCTGTTCCAGCACCTCACCACTCTCTGGGTAAAGAATTTTCCCCTGATGAAGAGGGGGAGAGAGAAAAGACCTCTAAGCCCATCTAGTCCAACCATCCACCTACCACCCATACTACCCACTGACCCATGCCAGCGTGGCAAGTTCTAGGTATATTCTGGGAAAATGGATGTGAAGCACACTACCAGTCAGTAATTCTGATTTTCAGTGGCTTGCAAAAAACAGCAACAGAGAGCATTGCAAAGTCACGGATGGAAAGAGAGAGATTAAAGGATGGATGAAGCCTGCAAGGAATCACTTGGCTTGCAGACTAGTTTTGTCCGGTGTCAAACAAGGCAAAGTGTTTTGTTAATGGAGTGTCCAATTGTTCCTCTCAGGGTGGCCCATGTGGAGTACTGGCAGCAGTTCAAGCTTGTGTTCTACAGCAGCTTATCTTTGGAGACAGTAACAGGAATAAGGATGCTCGGTAAGTCAGCAACTGACACAGGTAATTTCCATACAGTAGCGTAAGAGAATTTTGTGTTGCAGCCCCTCAGGAACCTTTTGGAGTTTGGACTTCACAGAGCTTTTCTTTATCTCTGGTAGAGAAAGAAACTAGAGTATGAATTTTGTATTTAGTTTTCTTCTAAGTGTAGTGGTGTCACTGAACCTCCAGATTCCATGGCGTTATGATTTCAAAGCAAATGCAATCAGGATTTGGAAGACCATGAAATTCATACAATTTTTGACACCAAGAATCTCAAGAAGGGTGGAATTTAAGAGTTAGAGCTTTCTCTTTTCTTCTTGTTTGATCTTTCACGTCAATATGAGTTAGTTGTTTGGGCTGAGTTCATCGATAATGCAGAGAAATGGGTGCATTTGTCATCATCTCTCTACAGCACATGGGATGGGAGGTGACAATTAATCAAAGCTTTATTGGGGCCTGAGGGGTCTGCACAGGTTTCCAAACCCAGGAGTGGTCGTGGGCAGGCAGACCTGCAGTGAGATGTTTAGTAAGGCATTGGAGACATTAAAAACCAGACTTACAGACTTAGAATAAAACATTTACTATCATAGAATCATAGAATGACTGGGTTGGAAGGGACTATGACTGTTAGTATTGTTGTTGCTGGGTAATAATGGCTCTGATTGCTTTCAGACCCGCAAACAAAGGTCCAAATGAATGAGATACGTGAATTAATCACCTGAAGATCACCTGTTTCTTGAGCCCACCTCAAGTTAGTTACACTGGTAAACCCATTGAGTCAATGGTATTATACCATTATACCCTGCATGAGCAGGGGGTTATGTCAGCTCATGGTTAGGCTTAGGTTAGCTGACCCTACGTTGGCTTAGTTCTATGGTGTTACATAGTTTAATTCTTTCTTCTTGCAGTCATTTCTTTCAGAACATCACACTTTTCTGTCATTCATCTAACAGAGCGTGCTTTTTAAATTAACCACCATTGCTTCCCAAATGCATTAAAAGCCACGCCAGTACTGTATTTCTGATAGTTAAGAGTTCATTTCAGTTTGGAGGGCATCTGCTCCTTGATCTGCCTGAGCCTCAAACTGCCCTCAGTAACACCCTGAGACCTGTTCACTGTTTGCTCTTTCATCACAACAAAGTGATGTTAGATGCTGGAGAATCGTGTAGCACCCAGGTAAGTGGGCTGAAGCAAGATTGCTTTATTTGACCATGAGTGTCCCAGCTACAACCTGCCCTGTGTACTTGGCAATATTTGCCTCCCTTTTTTCTTTCCTCTTGTTACGCACGTGGTTTTAAAGTACTTTGTTTTTACATATTTGGTATATGAAAAATGCTGCTGAGGTATGATGAAAGTCCCCAAGGGACTTCGAGTTGGCAGCTGAGATTTTGGTCTTGGTGTGCAGAAATGCTAAAAGTCTCCAGGTCTTAAAAATGAATAGCAAGGCAGGCTGTTTTATTCATGGGATAAACAGATCTTCCTTATGATGAGTTTGCCATGGGCAAAAACTCTTAGGCAGGCAGAAAGACAGGGCAAACTCAGAGCTTGAAATCAGAGGATCTACATTCCTTTCTAATTCTAACCTACATTTTCCATCCTTGATGATTCTATGATTCTATGATTTTCAAAGTATTGGCTGCTTCAAGGTGAGTGTTTCACTTGAGAGTTCTTCATGGTTCAGGAGGTAATTACCACACATCCTTATTATTCTGCTGCCTCTTCTGCTACAAATCAATTATAAATGGATTGAGTTGAAATAAGTTCCTATGCTTTCCATATTTTGGATGTCTGTGCCAGAACACAGGCTGAAATAATAGAAAATGGTGATTTATTTTTTTGCTTGAAAACCATCACTGTCATTATTTCCCAAATCTCACATCCTTCAGATATGGAAATATTTTCTAAATGAACATCATATTCAGGCTTGAAAAGATGGTTGTTTTTTTTTGTTTGTTTGTTTGTTTGGTGTTTCTTATACGTTCCTTTCATTACTGGATCTTTTTACTCATGTGCTGGGAACGGGTTCTGACATCATCTCTCATCCTCGTAAAACCCTGGGACTGATAACATCTGAATTTCAGGAATGGCCATTCTGGAAGTCAGCAGAGAAAAATCCATTTCTGCAAAGCACAGTGTTTATTGTGAATGGCATTGTAGTTAAGTTTTAGTAGTAGGTAGGAACACCACAGTGCAGACTTGAAGACAACAGTTAAGAAGTCAAAGCTCAAGGATGTGATTAAATATGAAGACCTAGAATTCAGGTATTAATGTATAAAACAATCCTAATAGAGTTGCATCTCCCTCCTTAGAGGCCTTGAGGAGCTGAATGGCAGCACCAAGCCCAGTCCACTGCTAGCTAGTCGTGCTGCTGCATGCACAGGGAGTGCTGTCGTGGCATCTCATACAGATGATTGAGCCCTAAGGGTGGGATGCAACTGCTCCTGGTGTGTCTTCTCAGGAACTGCAGTGGCTTGCTGTTCAACTCAAAGGATTTTTGGAATTCAGAACTTGGAGCTGTTATAACGATCTTGGCGATAGAAGCAATTGAAATACTTAGATGACAGTTTTCCAAGGCAGCTTGCTGGATCCTCCTTATTAGCATTAGCATTACAACACCTGGATGGTCTCAAAAAGTGCTTTTCTTCATATATCAATTGCTAAAAACCTGTTGTAAACCTGTGCATGCTGTGGCTGGGGCACTTTGCCCTCACATCATAAGCTCTGTGATACACACTTCGGTGCTTTTTCTGTTTCTTGCTTTTCCTGGACTACAGCTGTCTCCAGCCCTCAGAAGCTCACAGGACCAAATGCCTCACCATGGCTATTGCAGACATCTTGTGGCGTGCAGGAAGCAATGAAAAAGCAGTTGTGGCACTGTAAGTAGGAGAAGCAGCTTCAGTTACGTGATGTTCTTATAATTGTGTCTGTTAAGTATGGACAAAGTTCACAAAATGGAAGTTCATAAAGATCAGAGCATCATTGAATGGTTTGAGTTGGATGGGATCTCTAAAGGGCATCTGGTCCAAATCCCTGCAGTGCACAGGGATGCCCACAGCTCCATCAGTGCTCCTTTGACTGTGGGTGTCTGCAGGGATGGGGCATCACCGCCTCTCAGTGCAATCTGTGCAGTGCCTCACTGCCCTCAGTGTATGAAATTCTTCCTTATATCCACCTAAATCTCCCCTCTTTTAGATTGAAGCCATTTTCCCTTGTCCTATCACACAGACCCTCCTATAGAGTCAGTCCCCTTCCTTCTTACAGCCCCTTCAGATACTGAAGGCTGCTCTCAGCTCTCCCTGCAGCCTTCCCCCCTCCACCTGCACAGCCCCAGCTCTCATGCTCTCCTCATTTCATTTTTCCATCCCTGGGATCATTTTTGTGGTCCTCAAAATGTATTCATGCAGCGTGAAATGGATGAGGAAGAAATGCAAAAGGCCATTTTTGCTGTTCCAATAGCTACTGAAGGGAGTTACTGAATCCTGCAATATATTTATGATTTTGTGAGAAGAGATCATTTATTTTATTAGAACAACTAAGACTGATGGTAAAGTGAGAGCAGACAGCCTTCTGGAGGCTTTTGGGCACTGAAGCTCTTCAAACCTGAAACAGAAGCCAGCAAATTCAGAGACATTTCCAGTGATATTTTGAGTGTTTTCTGCCTATAAAATATTTCCTCTGATGCTACTCTACATCTGTTCTGCTGCTTCTCTTTTAATGTCACTGCTCTCATATTCCCTCCCAATAAAAGTTGGCATTAATATCTTAAAACTATATTTATCTTCCTTCTTAGCAGAGAAACTTGTAATTTATATTAAATGGAGGGAGCACAGCTAAAGATGTTTCATCAATAAAAGTTCACGGAATACCCAACATGCACTCATTTTGCATAAGGCTGTCTTTAAAAAAGCCAAAAATTAGTCACTGAAGTAATAATACCAAATCTTTGGTTTGTGATTCAGTTCATGTAAGGTTTTGGTTTCTCTGTAATGTGATTTTGGTCCTTTTGACATGAACTTTGGTTTTGTTTGCATGTTCTCTTTAGGCCGTCAGGAAGACAGCAGTTCACTCCCATAGGAAAATATAAGGCAGATGGAATCTTAGAAACTGTAAGGCTCTGTGTAACTCGTGCTCACATTTTCCCTATATCCTTTTTGTAGCTTTTCTTGCTTTAGTACAATGAATCCCATTTCTGTGTATCCCTTAAGTGTTTTAAAACCTCTAATATTACAGTTGCCACTTGTGATCTAAAAACCAATAGGAAATCACAGAACCTGGTAGTTTATCTGGCTCTGAACCATCCCACTGCCTGGGGACAGCTGGGCTCTCTGAAGTCCTTTTTGGTGCATCTACCTTCCAAGCTTGTAAACTCTGCCTAATTTTGCTGGTATGCAGTAAAAATTGAAAGTGGATCCTTTCAGGTCAGCTAGCACAGCCATGAACATCAAGAGACAGTATTTTCTTCTCGTGTTTTATACAGAATTCCTTGCTTTTTTTTTCCCCCCAGTTGCTCCAAATGGCAAAATACTTTCCAGTAGTGTCTTTGTTTCCATCTGAAGCCTTCAAATGGCTTTGTAAACATTGGTGACACAAGCCAGGCTTCAGTGGCTTAAGGAAATATTACTGGCCTCCTAAATGGAGGAGCAAAGGTACCAGCTCCATTTCAGAACCAGTTTTGAAACAACTGGAAGTGAAAACCTGATGCAGCACAAAACTTTAGCCATAATGTGCTCTTACAAAAGAAAAGCAGTATTCTTTAATACATTAAAATGATTTTGAGCTGCTGGTCATTTCAGAGTGCAAATAATAGCATGGTGCTGCATCAAAATACTGCTTATCAAAGCTCATGTGGGCACAGCCAGGGTGAAACAGTGGTGGAAAGGGAACTCTAGATATAGCCATGGATATGGTCAGCCATGTACCATGGAATCACAGACTGGCTTAGGTTGGAAGGTACCTTATGGATCCTCGAGCTCCAGCCTCAGCTGTGGGCAGGGCTGCCAACCCCATTTCATCTTTACTGCATAAATCCATCATTGCTGACAAAATGGGAAGATGCAAAAACAAAGAGCTTGGAAGGAAGGGCTGGGAGCTGTAAACTCTCCTGAAGTTCACATGATGTTTGAGTATTCGTGGGGGAATTCTCTTATTCTCTGAGCAATAAGAAGGGCTCTGATAGAGATCTGCTATAGACAGCTCACCCTGTGGGTACAGCCTCCTGGGCTGCTTGCTGCTTCTGAGGCTTCATGTTGTTCTAAGAATCGTTTTGCATTGCATGGAATTGAAGCAAGCTGATGGCTTGAGAACTTAAAAACAGCAAGAGGCAGCATTTAACCACCATACAGCATTTAACCAAGTCACAGCAGTAAGAGGTAGACTTCCTTAGATTTTTATACCACTTTATGTTAGTTGCAAACCTTCTAGTCAGATCTGAAGTTTTGCCTGCTTCCCCTCAGCTGTTGTGTTTCAAAGTGAATTGCTCTTATTTCAGATGTTTGTTTTTTCTTCTGTTTCCTCCCAGCTAATCCTGCATAGTGCCACAAGATATGAGGATCTGATTGTACTTCTTCAGCAGAATATTCACCAGGTATCACGTGTTCAGCTGCCAATCTTCATGTATTTAACAATCTCATGATGGCTTCTGAATGTAATTTCTAACACCGTTTCTGTCAGCCAACTGACGGTAGAACCACAGAATCATAGAACCACCAATGTTGGAGAAGATCTCCAAGATCATCCAGTCCAACCATCCACCAATCACCAATAGTTCCTACTAAACCACGTCCCTCACTGCAACATCTGAACATTTCTTGAACACCTCCAGGGCCAATGACTCCACCACCTCCCTGTGCAGCCCATTCCAGTACCTCACCACTCCTTCTGAGAAGAAATTGTTCCTTGTATCCAACTTGAACATCCCCTGGTGCAATCTGAGGCCTTTCATTCTCATTGTGTCAGTAGTTACACAGGAGAAGAGACCGATCCCCCCCTCCTTTCAGGCAGTTGTAGAGAGCAATAATGTCTCCCCAGCACAGATCTCACATTTTAACAAGTAGAGCAAAAAAGAAAAGCGATTTTAGCATAATTGAAAACCGTTCTTTCCACTTTCAGTTTGATTTACGTTTCTCTAGGATTGGAATCAAGCAACAAAGTAAATACAGTTCTTTCTTTTTCAGTTTGAAATTGGTCCCTGTGGGTGCATCCTTCTGACCGTGTCCGTCATCTTATCGAGATCCATCAATCTGTGAGTGCCTTTGTGTCTAATTTCATTAACTGCAAAGAAACTGAGATGTGCAAAGTGAAAAAGCAGCCACGGTGTACTTAAATCTCTGTCTTTTTTCAGTGTCTTGCTGTTTATTCTGATAAATACACGGATGTTACAGTTGTGATTTGCACAGTTAATCTTGGCTTTTGCTGTTGTGAGTTTGAGATCAGACTTCAGATAGATCTTTATTGTGACTCCAGTATGGAGGGAATTAGGGACACAGGGCATAAACACGAGGGAAGGAGAAAATGTATCTATCAGCTCATCTACTCTTGTCTTCTGCTATCAGAGTGATATTTTGCAGGAACAAAGCTTATCTCATGCCATTTTAACGATAGAAGATTTTATTTTTTTGCCACTGATCCTCTAAAATCTCTTTAAGAATCTCATTATTAATGAGTAGAAATTGTTTCAATGCTATGTTCAGTTTCTCCATGACTAAATTTATGTCCTATTTGCTGTTCAGACAGTATCACTGCAAATTATTTCTCCACATCCTGCTGTTCTTGTCAACACAGGAACAGCCACATTTGGTCAGGCTGAAGGTCCATCTGCCCAACAGCTCATGGTAGTTGCATATAAAAAAGATTATGAGTAACAGGAGGAGCATAGAGGGATCTCTACTACCTATGACATTTCTGCCCATGTGCTTTCCTTTGGTAATTTCCTTTCTTTTTCAAGTTTGAATGAACACAGCTCTGGAATTGCTTATCAGACTACAGATGGGTTGCATGTGATGATTAGTACTCTCCCATCTTTAGCAGAGCATCTTTTTGTCTGATATACTGCAGTACTGTTTAACTTCTTGCTGCCCTGAAATCTACAAAGAATTGTTGCTCTTGTTTCTTCTCTGCAATGTCCAGATAATGTTTTTTGCTTCTGCCAAACCAAATGTTAATCAGTGAAGCTGAAACGATGTTTTTTCCTGTCCCTTATGCTTCTTACATACTGTCTTGAATGAGTTCTGTCAAGAAAATATTGTGCACAGAATGAATCCATTCAGATTGCAGAATGGACTGGTGCTTCCAGATGTTATCTGTTCTAACGTTTCTCCACACCACAGTCAAAAACCAGCAGACTTCAGAGATCTTTAATATTTTCCTCTTCATCCATTCAGGAAACAAAATGATTGATGGGGCCCTGGACAGACTGATCTGATGGTTGGCAGCCCTGCCCACAGCAAGGGGGGGTTGGAAATCCATGATCTTGGAGGCCCCTTCCAACACAACCATTCTACGATTCTATGATTCCGTGGTCCTATGATTCTGTTCCTGGTTCTTTGGCAGAGACCGTCCCATAACCTGTGGGATTTCTGATACTCTAGGTAGCCTTGGTTAATTTTTATTGTGAATGTTGTAGTTGTACTATAGATTTTCTCTCTCCATCTCCCTGTTCCCTCTATGTGTGTACACACACAGCCATATACATAAAGGTAGAATTGACTCTTGAAGTGGCAGTGATCACTCCACTTCTGATGTGACTCCACCTTAGGCACCAGCTCTCAGGTAGCAGCCAATGCTCTGTCTTAGCAGCTGAAAGCAAACTGCTTCAGGTATCTGTCTTTTGGCAAGGCTGAACCACTCACTTGTGATGCCCCAGTTTCTCCATTGATGATGATGATAAAGGCCATGATGTGAAATTCCTCAGGAAGATATTTCTAGTGATGATTATAAGTAAATCTGGTCTGAATTTACTGATGTAGATACGCTGAGCTCTAAGGGGTAGTCGTTAAAGCAGCCTCTTTCAAACATTCCCTGAGGTTTCCTCTAGGACAGTTGTGCTTCCTTGCTAGTTTGTTTGTTTGGTTGGTTTTTTACATATTGAATGGATTTTTTTGGTGCAGTGAATCTCAGGCTGGAGCAGAATCTGAAATTTTCCTTCATTTTGTCAAATTCTACTTCTGTAGCAATCTTGTAGAATTATCTGCAAGTGAAAAGAGCTGTTCTTTGACACCTTGTGTTGATAACTGACATGAAAAGAGCAGCTGCACTTGAAAGCAGCACAGGTTTGCTGTGTGGAAATTGAATGATGCTTTTATTTCTTGCATCATATCTTGAAAATAAATAACCATTTAGCACAAGTTTGATTTGATTTTGCTTATACAGTTGCTCACCCACGGAGCCTCCTAAAAGCATTCACAGATATATTATTATTATTTTTTGTTTTGCTGGCATTTCCTCCTTTCTTTTGCTTACAATAACACTGCATGTCAGTGGCTTAGCTCCTTTTTGGCACTCCGGTGTGAATGATGTGGAAATTTTATAAAGCATGTAATTACTCTCATTTTTCTAAGCTAGTTGGAGCAGAGAGGTATACATCAGTAAAGGGATTTGAGCAAGGAACAGTGTTTGTCACCTAGGAGAGTTCTCAACAGCAGCAGCTTTCCTAATTGCTACTGATTGCATTGCTTTACTCGTTCCAAAATGGTAAATGTTTTTTATTACATAAGCAAAGAGGTTGTTTTTCCCATCACCTCTCAATTGTTAAGAGGTTCATTAAGACAAGGCCGGCCAGTCACCTGCGATTACATTTCATGTCTAAACTAAACATGGAAATCTGCATTTTTAGGCATCTAAATATTTGTGAAAGTCTGGTTGACAATGGCAGAGTTGTTTAGAAAGTCTTCTCTTTTGAGTACGAATCTTGACTTTCTTACAGAAATTTGTCTTGAAGACCCATTCCTCCTCTTGCTTGGAACACCACATCGGTGCCTATCTGTTGTTTACATGAAACAGGGATTTTTCTCTGTTGCTAGATACAGTGGAATGTGTCTGCAGCCTTTGTGTCAGACTTATTTAGAAGTGCAAACCAAGCTTCGCTTACGTAATCTGCAGTAATAGATTTGAATAGCTGTGTCATAGTACTTCTCTTTGGATACTGCAAGTATTGAGACAGATAACTCTGCCCATATCATCCAAAAATATGTACCATTTAGTGAGTGTTACAGGCATTGTGAGTAACTATTTACATACCTGGCATAGCTCTGGATGAATATTTGAAGACAAGTAGAGTTGGTTTAAGTAATGGAATTTTCACCCAGCAGTTGATCTTTCTGGGACGTTTTTCATTTCAGCCTTTCAAGAGATAAAACATTTCTAAAAAAATAAGAAATGCCAAGTTGTGATTTTCCCTATTTTTGCATGCACATTCAAATGAAAATGCCAGATCCTTCATTTCATTTTTGTTTTGAAATTGGCATATTTCATATTTCTCGAATCAAGATGAAATGCTTCAGTTTGTCCCTTCAGTGTTGGTAATGAAGGTCCTTGGTAAATCGCTCTTCTGTAATTAATTGGCATTCTTATAAGAAAATGGAAGGTTAATGACAAAATTGTATTAAACCACGGTTATCATAAAACAGTATTGTTTAAGAGGCAGAGATGTTTCCAACCAAAACTAAGCAAAGATGTGCGCTTGGTTCAACAAAAAGATGGGCATTTTAATTAATGGATATTGAAATGTTTCTTTCTGACAGCAATACTCTTCCTAATATTTTCCACTCCATGAATATTTTCTTGAGCTTTCAGTCTAAAACGTAATTAGAAGGAAAAAATAATACTTTATTTTTCATGGTGAGGAAGCATTTATGGTGGCTTAAAAGACAGAGCGCTGAATGAGGAGTTGTGTCAAATGAAAGAGGAGGACCAAGTGCTGTTCAGCCCATCAAGAACTGATCTGAAAAGGGGTTGCAGGATCATGAAGCCTCAAAGCTTTTAGGTGATGGAGCACCTTCCTTAGAGCAGTCAGATCTGAGGGCAGGTGCTTCCCACATCTGTGCAGATGGCAGACAGTGTGCACTTGTGATCCTGCCAAATGGAAGGATGGGGTGAATTGCTGATAGGCAGTTCCTATCTTTTTGCTTTGTCTGACTGACTTTGACTCCTATTCCCTGGATCCTTGATATTCTCAATGTAACGATCTGTCTTGCTTATCTTCATTTACATTCTATGGACGTATTTACTTTTAGGCACCTTTCATGCTCAAACAAAAAAAAAGAAAGAAAAAAGAAAAGAAAAAGATTGTAATTCATTTACTTGCATCCCATGTCTACCTTAGGATGAGATAAATAATCTCTTATAATGCTGTTCTCTCCGTTACTAACAAGACAGTTTAAATGACCTACTCAAGTAGAGGCTCTACACCATGAAAGTTGTGTAGTCAAACAAATTCAATAAATGGGAGGTGAAATGCAGTGTTCATAAGGCAAAGCATTATTTAGGATGAAAAAAGTGTCTCAACTATTCTAACCAAGCGATGGGCTTTTGATATGCTGTTATGTAAAATGGGAGAAATTCTGGCACCATTACTAGTAATTCTCTGAAAATACCACTCTTGTTTTCTATGACAGCCAAAAAAAAGAAGGAATGCATTGGGAGTTGAGGTGATACGAGAACATCATAAAACCTCTGTAGGGTATTTGCAGAAATGTAGTCTTGTCTCACCAGGTTGCTCACCAAGTAACACAGTGGAACTCAAACACATTGGAAGACATGAACTGGAAAATTTCCCTTTCTTCTGGAGTCACCATCCTGGAAGTGTTCAGGAAATGTTTGGATGTGATGCTAAGGGACATGGTTTAATGTGGAAATATTGGTGGTAGGTGGATGGTTGATCTTGGAGATCTCTACCAACCTTGGTGATTCTGTGATTCTGTGAGTAGCTTTTGTGCGAGCGCAGATTAATTCTTTTCTCTGTAGTATTGGAAAGGGACAGCTTGGATGTCATAAAAGTATAGAGATCCTTGATAAGGTTGGACAAGGAATAACATGATTTTTTTGCAGAGTCCAGATGTTTGACTGTCATGGAAATGATCACACCTTGTGTTTAAAGCAAACTGTGCTACTTCTTCATCCGCAGCACAAGTAGCTTCCAGTGCTGGGAGATGAGGAAGCTGGCAGTATGAAGAGGTTCACGTAAATTTAGACAAGTGATGGGAAGGTGCAAGCTTCCCTTAAGCCCTCCCTGTGCTCCAGTTTTCT